CTCAGCTCTGGTCTCCCAGCCCTCATGAGTATTTGACTGCTCAAGGAAGAGCTGCTGTAGAAGCTTAACTGAATCTAGGAGTTCAGGCTGCAGAGCCTTGAAAGTCACCTCAGAGAAGGGAGGCCTCCTCCCCTTCTCTCCCCACCCACTCCTCCTCCCCTCCTCCTTCCCTTCTCTCTCTTCCCTTCCCCCTCCTCATCCCTCCTCCCCCTCCCTTCTCTTCATCCTCCCTCTCCCTCCTCTCCATCCTTCCTCTCCTCCCTCTCCCTCCTCCCTCTCTTCACTTTTCCTCCTCTCCCTCCTCCCCCTCCCTCCTCCCCCCTTCACAGTCTAGCATACATAGGGGGCCGGGTCCCAGAAAAAACTCAGTTCCCACCGGTACCATGAGGGCTTAAGTGACCCTCTCAGCTCAAAGACACACACCGGGAGACAGAATTGAGACCCCAGCCCTGTCCTCAAGCACATGAGGTCCATATCTCTGTGGGGATGGAGGAGGCCCTGCAGCCCAGGGTCCCACTACATCCCATTCTTCTACCATCTAGAGGAACCCCTCCTCAGTCTTGACTGAACCTATCCTGAAGCCTGAGGGAAAAGCCCCGGGCCCTTTCAGGGAGGGGCAAACGTCACAGCCGCCTCTGGCTCCAGTGTTCCTGGGAAGGCCGGTTTACAAGCTTGGCTATTTTTCACTTTGCAGCTGCTGTCATAAACTGCCCCCCACCCTCCCACCCAGCGGGAACAGCTGTGAAGGGTCTCCAGGGCCCAGAGCCGGCGCCAAGTCCCCCCCACCCCTTGCTATTTCTGCGCAGCCAGAGAAATCCTGAAAATAAACCCTCCTGAAAGAGAGGCAAACCCCTGTCCCGCACCGCCCGCCGGAGGCTCATCCTTTCTCCCAAGCAGAAGAGCTGGCACAAGGTAGCCCAGGTGCAAGGTCTGTCCCGGCCCACGGAAGGCCCACTTCCCAGCTGGGCCTCATGCCGCCAAATATTCTAGAAAGAACGGGGGCTGGAGAGCCGGCTCAGCGGTTGAAAGCACTGGCTGTTTTTCCAGAGGACCTTGGTTTAATTCCCAGCTCCCACATGGCAGCTCACAACCACCCGTAACTCCAGTTCTAAAAGATCCAGCGCCCTCTTCTAGCCTCGACCTACACCAGTCACACACACAGCGTGTACACACGTGCATGCAGACAAAACACCCATGCACATAAGAGAATAAAGGGATGCTTCAGATCAGTTTCCAATCTGAACCACTCCCACAACAGCCACAGAGCGACCTCAGGTGATCCTTTGTAAATTTTTTGTTAGTCAGATCTGAGGGCATACACCTTTAGCCCAGCTTTTGGGAGGCAAAGTCTTGCGGATCTCTGTGAGTCTGAGGCCAACCTGGTCTACATATTGAATTCTAGGGCAGACAACACTACATAATATAACCTTGCCACCTTGCCTGGAGAGATGCAGTTATTTACTTATTGTATGTGCGTGTGACTGGCAGCATGTGTACACACATGCACAGGAGCCCTCGTAGACCAGAAGGGAACATTGAGTCTCCTGAACTGGAGTTAAAGATGGATAAGAGCCACCAGGTGGGCGCTGGGAGTCAAGCCCAGTCCAGTCAGCACTGTTACTAACCACTGAGCCTTCGCTCCAGCCCCTCTGGTTCTTGTGGTCAGTTTGCCGGGACTGCACTGCATGTCCAGCAAGCTCAGCTTACAGAAGGCTTTACCCTGGCCCATGGTTTGACAGGATGGCACTGTGGTGGCCTTGAGGCAGCTCACACCGCTCTGTCAGGAAGCAGAGAGATGAACGCTGGTTCCCAGCTGCCTTCCTCACTCCACCCCTGGTTTTCGGCCTGAGACACCAGCCCACGGAATGTCCTGTTTTCAGGGTGGGTCTTACTTGTTTAAACTTCTCTGGAAACACCCTCAAGGAGGGGCTCCCAGGGGACTCCACGTCCTGTGGGCGACAGTAAGGACCAGGCACAGTTCTGACACCCACTGAACCAGAGGCTCCTGAAGTTCTGTCTGGCCCCGCATCCTCACCATCATCCCGAGTTCAAAGCTCCATGTGGCCATGAGATCTTGGACTTGATCTCTGTAAGTGTCCGCTTTCCTTTTCCTTCCAGACCCTAGGGGTGGGTCTTGCTGTGCAATAGCATAATTACAACACATTAGTCTTGGCACTGAAAGAAGGTGCCCCAAGGAGATTTCAGGAAGCTCGCCGCCTGCCCTGTATCATCTCCCCACAGCCCACACACACCCTGTACAGCCAGCACCTAGGGGAGGAAGGCGGAAGAATAGATGGAGGAAATAGCATACATGTGCATCCCTTACCCTTCCACCAGCAGCTGGGTTTGGCCTTTGGACCACTGACAAGTTCCAGTCAGTTATGGCCCATGCCTGCAATCCTAGCCCTCAATGATGAGGCAGGAGCTCAAGGCTAGCCTGGACCACACAGCAAAATCCTGTCAAAATAAAGTAAATCACATTTCAAAATAAAATAAAATGACAAGTTCTAAAACAAGGCAGTCAGTCCTCACGATCCTGAGGACTCCTGTCCAATCTGCTTACAGACCTGGGTTCGAGTGCAGTTCTGCAGGGCTGTGTGACTCGAGCTGCTCTCTCCGAGCTGCTGGTCTCTGTGGTGAGGGTTAGAGGTGGCTATGTGGGTCCTGGTGTTTGCCTTCCCTCCTCCTCACACAGGAGCACACACAGCACCAGGGTGCCAGGGCAGCCCTGAGGTGGGGTGGAGCCGCACACCCTCTCCTCTTGGACTGTGACCCTCTGTCTGGAAAAGCCTGGGAATTGGGCTGGTGCTGCTCTCAGTGAACTTCGTTTCATCCTTCTCTGCAGGGGTAGAGCTAGGGGACTTGTTTGCACCAAGCAAGCACTCTACACTGAGCTACACCTCAGCCCTGACCCGGGGATGAAATCACCCCTCTTCACACAGCAACAGATACCCAGAGAAGTGGGGTGTACCAAGGTCAAGGTCACATGGCTGAGAACAGAGCTGGCATTAAACCAGAAGTTCTAACTCCACATGACAGGGATAAAAATGTATACAGAGACTGCATTCTACCTACCTCGGTTCTCACCTGAGTATGACCCAGCCCTGTTGCTGGGGTTGGGGTTGACCAGAGCAGGATCCTTCTATAGCTCTTCAGCCCCTCACCCACCACAGGTCACCAGAACACACACACACACACATGTACATAGGCTCTCTCTCTCTCTCTCTCTCTCTCTCTCTCTCTCTCTCTCTCTCTCTCTCTCTCTCTCTCTCTCTCCCTCTCCCTCTCCCTCTTCCTCTCCCTCTCCCTCTCTCAGTGGCAGCAGACAGATGAACAGGTTGTAAACAGGATGACCTTGGTCCCTCAGGAGACACTGAAGTTGTTTCCCTTGACCATCAAGCCCAGTTCTGTCCCTTGTGGTCCTAACCCACAACTCATGATCTCCATCTATGGTTTCCTGGGTGTGTCTACAAAACAGCCCTTCTGGGAAGGTCCCTGCAGATGTAGAGAAATTAGAGGGCTCTAAGCAGGAGTGGAACACTGCTGTCCCCTCCCCTCTCTCCATCCCTCCACCCATTTGCCCACTCACCTATCCATCCATTCATCACCCCTCCCTCCCTCCCCCAATCCCGCATTCCCTCCTTCTATCCACACAACCCTCCCTCTATCACCATCCTCACAGAACACTAAGGATCATGTCCACTGAACTGAACCCCTGGCTGTGTAACATGGGCAACTGGCTATGCTGCTTGGGCCAGGTTCCTTCTTTGGGTTGTGGTAGTAAAGCCAGCACTCACTTCAAGGTCCAAGAGTCTCAGCGAGTAAAGTGTCAAGGACTTAGAGCGGCCTGGCAGAGGGCCCATCACTGCTCACCCACGCTGCTCATCATGAACCACTGCCATCGCTGAGCCCCGGAGGCAGGGAAGGAGCAGCACTGGGAGAGGGTCTAGGCCAGGAGCTGAAGTTTGAGGTGGAGTTAGCATTGCACGCAGTATGGGAGGGTGGAAGGGAATCATGACATAAGAAACAGCACTGGAAAAGCCTCGAGGCTCTCAGGCCACCTCCTTAATCCCCTCCCCCTCCAGGATCAGAGAACACACACTGTTGTTAAGGCCATGCACGCCACAGTGATCTCTGGAGAACTCTCCTGGAATTAGTGGGAGGTTGCTGCCTGGAGAACTGCTCTCCAGTGGTCTTGGTGTGACCCCAGGGAGCTTTTCTGCTTTCTGGCCAATAAGGAGAGAGCCTGACACCCAGAGAAACCGAGGCACCTGGCCAGAGCCACACAGCACACCAGAATGGGAGGTACTTGGGGGAACAGAGGCAACTCTTCCGGTGTTCTTGGAGGAAGCTGGGCTGAGCAGAGACGTGAGTCCTTTCCAGTCACACAACACAGAAGCCATTGTGTGTTCCGGAAGCCTAAGCACAGCCCCTCAGATTGCATGTGTGCCTCTTGCAGGATCAGGGCTCTAGGAGACAACCTCCCTGCCACCACCATCCTGGGAACCTGGCACATGTTCGCAGGCCCTGCCACATCTGGATCCCAGAAGGCAATTCCTGGCCCAGGCAGGAGGTCACCAACACAGGAACTCACCATCAAAAGGAAGGAAGAAACTAGAAGGGGGGGTCAATGGCTGGGTGGGTTTCTGGAGGTCAAAAGACCTGCCAAGGGTGGGTGTCGGCAACATTGTTCCACCTACAGAGAACGGACAACGGCGACCTCGCCGCTGCCCTGTCCCACAGCACGAAGAAGAGGCGGCTGTGGTGTGGCCACACCAGCTGCAGAGCCAGGAGGCAAGCTGCGTCTATGTGTTTGACATACCACCTCCAGGACTCCTCAGGTATGTAGGCCCCGACACCTACGGCCACCCATCTTTCCCTTTGCCACACGCATCCTCAGCTCTAGGACCTGGCTGATGAGCTCCCCAATGCTGCCCACAGCCCACAAACACCTCCTCCCTCACTGTAGACCTGTGCAGCCATAGATAGTCCAGATACACTCAAGTCAGATCAAGGTTTATTATATGTTATATCCCCACACCTGAAGAGCTGTGGAGTCAGGGAGCCCTGAATGGAGATATGGGGAGCCCCCGCAAGGCCCCCAACAGGACAAAGCCTCCACACTGTCAAAGACTGAGGAATGGTGTGGACTCAGGCTGCCAGACTACCGTGTGAGCAAAGGATGGGCCAGGCCCCTGCTCCAGCCTGGGCGTCAGAATCCAGAATGGCAGTTGTCCCAAATGCCCTTTGGCTTCCAGGCTGCTTCGGAGTCCGACAGAGAACGTCCCTCAATCCCCTCATCCCAACGTCCATAGCAAGATGAGTTGCACACTCTCAAGTCAGAGCTGCTGGACACTTGAGAGAACTGGACGGCCTGCATCTCACATTCCAACACTGAACCAAATCAGGAAGTGGGGTGCCTTAGAGAAAATCAAGAACGATGTTTTCCAGAGTGTGTATGGTGAGATTGGACTTCATAACTATCATCACCCTAATTATAAAGCGGGGGAAAGAGAAGACCAGCCTAAGGACCCTTAGAGTAGTTGCATCAGCGTGGGGAGGGGTACAGCGGCTCCTTGGTTCACGTGACTTTGAGTTTGTGTCTCCATGGAGCGTCTGGGGAACTCTGTGATAAAGTAGGGGCCCCTTCAAGATGCTTCCTAACTAATCAAGTCCGCTGAGCAGAGGCAGAGTGACCCCAACATTCTGATGATGGGGAGATGCCAAGGGAACCCTCTGCAGTCCCTGGTGCAACTGGACACGGGCTGCACCTTGCTTTCCCAGTAGGGCACGAAGACAGCTGAGGACCACGGCAGCACATCCTCTTGACGCCTTCCAAATCCAGCAGCCCCGGCTGTCTTCCCAGCCGATATGGAAGCAGCAGGGAGTGCCGTCTCACTGGGGGCCTCTGGCCTGTCCCCCTTCTGCTGTGTGGCTGCTCGTGGGGACTGCCTTGTTGCAGTTCCAACTGGGGCATGTCTGTCCTTCTTGTAGAGAAGTGTGCTTTAGGCAAGAGGCATTAAAGGCACTGGAACTTGGGGTGATGTTTCCTGGGGTGCACCAAAGACCACCAGCTCTGCCCATTCCGGGGTCAGGATTGGTGCCGGCAATGGCCAAGGAGGGGTGTCAAGAGGCAGTCAGAGCTGAAGGCCTTTCTTGACCAAGGAGGTGACCTTCAAGGACCCAGCAGTCAGGCCCAGCAGTTCTTGAGCCTCTTAGACATTGGGAGAGATATTGCTACAAGCGCAGGAACTTTCAGGGGGGGCAGCTGGTCCCTGGGATTCCTCAGCTACAGAGAAAGACCCTTCTTGTTCCCCTTGGCCCTCACTGGCTGCAGAAGCCCCTCCAGCCTCTACTGGACCTGACTCCTCTGGGATCTCCCGCTTCCCCACAGTGACCCCGCACACTGGGGCTTCCTGGGCCTCCTCCTGGCTGCTCAGCACCTCATCCTCTGGCCCATCCTTCACCGGCTCTGTTCCCTCCGCACTGCCTGGCACCACTCTGGCTGGAGACCGGAGGTTCTGGGTAGCAGCCAGAATGTCAGCCTGGAGCTGCTGGGAGGAGTCCAGAGCCTCTTCCGGCCGGCTGTCAGGAGCCCTGTCAGGGACCTCGCTGAAGGCACGGGGCCCCCCAGCCCGGTCACTCTGGTCCACATACTTCTTCTCAGGGAAGGAGGACGGGTAGTAGGCTGTGGCCTTGTGTTTCTGGCGGGTGATGAGAGCAGCACAGACGATGAACATGAGCAGGAAGGCCAGAGAGCCCACCACGGCAATGAGCATCACATACTGGCGGAAGAAGTCCATGATCCCATCCAGGAGGTTGGTGGGGGGCGCGGGGCCCTCCAGAGCTGTGGGCTCGGGTCTCCCTGAAGTGGGGCTGAAGGCTGGAGTCCGGGGTGGTGGCAGGCTCGGGGAAGAGGCTGAGGAGCCCTCGGCTTCCCCACTGCCCCCCACATCCTCCAGGAAGGTGGATGGGAGGGACACAGAGTAGGCCACCAGAGGCAAGGGCCTCAGAAGTAGCAGCAGAGACAAGAGGAGGCTGGAAGCCATACTGACCACAGAACCTGTGGGGAAGCAGTAAGAGAGAAATCAGGTTGAGTCTCTGGTGTCTCCAGGGCCTCGGGACTCAGGAGTGGCTCGATAGCTCCCCAGAGAACCCAGAACACATTCCAGCTGAACCCCTCACCGTGTGGCAACATGAACACCTCCCAGGTCCCTTCCTTTTGATGCTCCTGAGGACAGAAACTGCATTTTGCTCATATTGGTGTGTCCTCAGTGTTTTACACCCTGAATATACACTAAGTGCTCAATAGATGCTTCTTCACCAGTGTGGCTGAATCCTCGTACTAGCTTAGGCTCTCATGGTTTACTGGGCATCGGATACTAGCTGAAGAGGGATGCATTTGGAAACCAGAGGAGAACTTCAAATGTCATTCCTCCTCAGGCACCCTCCTCCACTCCATTTGTGAGGCAGGGCCTCTTACTGGGACCTAGGACTCCAAGAATCTCCCTGTGTCCCCATCCCCACTGTGGGCATTGAGGGCATGCGCCACCCCACTGGCTCCTGATGCAGGTGCTAGAGATGCCACGCAGGTCTTCCGGTACCAACACCTGAGCCATCTCCAGCCCACATAGAAACTTGTCCTGGGCCCTGCAGTGGTGACGCACGCCTTTAATCCCGGCACTCAGGAGGCCAAGGCAAGTGGATCTCTGTGAGTTCAAGGCTAGCCTGGTCTACAGGGGGAGTTCCAGGACAGCCAGGACTGTTATTTAGAGAAACCCTGTTTGGAAAACCAAAAAATGAAGAAAAAAGAAAAGAAAGAAATATGGCATGGAAACCTAAAAGCTACCCAGTGAGGGAAGGGCTATAACTGTCTCCATTTCCAGCTGCAGAAATCAAGGGTCAGGAGAAACTGAGGCTCAGGCCGAGCAAGTGACTTATCCAGGGAGATCTGGCAGGGTAAAGAAAACAATGGCCTGAGGGCTCTGAGAGATGGGGCTGGGATGGGGGACCAGAGGGCTGAGGGACACCTCTGCACAGGAAGTGCCCCCAGGGCACCGTTACCCTGGGGCCTTGGTAGCTCCAGCATAGGCTTTTCCAATCCACCTACTTCCTTTTCCAGAAGGCTTTGAAGTTGCCAGGTCTGCACACTCTATAGGAGGCCTGGTTGCCAGCATGGGGCTCAGGGCTTCTGTATCCCCCACCCCCCCATCCTTGGAGGTCTGGACGGTGAGCCTCCAAAAAACCCAAGAGGTTCCAGGGGGAACCACAGCTCCTGGGGAGACAAAGCTGGCTAGCACTGCAGCCCCTCCCCACTGCCACCACTAAATGGGAACCAGATGTGCCCCTCCCCCCCTGAAAGGCTGCTCCCAGCATGAACCCCCCAGACCCCATCTGGCCCAGACAGCCAGGCTAATTAATAAATTCCTCATTGCCCAAGTTTACACTAACTCTCCCTGCTGGGGGGAATGGGATCTGGAGTTAAACTCTTGCTATCCCAGCAGAGGGCTCTGGTCCCCTGAGATTAACTAGGCCTAGAAGTCTAAGAAGGAAAAGACTCAGGGGATCTCCCTTGGAGGACTAAGATGGGGAGACAGAGGCAGAGCCCAGATCAGACAACAGGCCACACAGCAAGTTTCTGAGCTGCGCCATGGCCACAGGTCCTGCTTGATGACACAGGTGGCATTACCTGCCTCTCAGGTAACAGGGACTCAGGAGGCTGGTCATTTAGTGGCTATCCCGAAGCCTCCTGGTTATGTGCACTGAGCCCTCAGTATCACAGGGAACTGGCACCAGGATGTCCCCACCCCCATCCAAAGGAGCCAAAATCAAGCCATTTCAGTGAGGAGGGACATATGTCTCTCAGCCTCTTGGTTTTCCCAGTCACAACACCATAAATGCTGTGGGGGGTTGTTATACTGTTTGTTTTTATCGGTAAGGTCTTTTTTTGTGGGGGGGGGAGGTTCAAGACAGGGTTCCTCTGTGGCTTTGGAGGCTGTCCTGGAACTAGCTCTTATAGATCAGGCTGGTCTCGAACTCACAGAGATACTCCTGCCTCTGCCTCCCAAGTACCAGCAATCATTAAGTTCTTATAGCTTAATTTTTAAAATGCTTTCTACGTTTATGGGATACTCAGCAGGGGCCGCTGCACTGATGCCAGTTCGGTCAAACTGATGCAAGCAGCAAAAGCCTGAAGTTCATTTCAGAACAGGAAAAAGAAGACAAATAGGCCAACGAGATGGCTCAGCAGGTAAGGGAGATGCTGCCAAGGCTAATGCCCTAAGTTTGATCTCCAGGACCCACAGGCTAGAAGGAGAGAACAGCTCCCATAGGCTGTCCTCTGACCTCTCGAACACACTGTGGCCTGCACAGCCCCATCTAAGTAAATAAGTGTAACAAAATTTTTTCTAAGGTGGTTAAATTACCAATTTGCTTGTTTTATCTATTTTCCTCTTTTTCTGCTGTGCTAGAGCCTCATGTGTGCTAAGCAAGCGCTCTGTTGCCAAGCCCCTAGGGTTCACGGACAGTGATAATCTAGAATCCATGGAGGATGATTCATCTCAACCCTCTCCCTAGGTCCAGGCCCACAACGGATACCCTTCAGGTTCAGAGTAGATGGTGACATGTCCAAGGACATACAGATGATCCGTGACTGGCCTGGGCTGGGCTGGTATTTAATTCCTCTGTCGGCTGTGGGCATCCACATGCTGTGAGGGTACACGTGCGTGTGCATGTGTGTGCATGAGTGTACATGTGCACCATTGTGCATGGGTGTGCAAGCCAGATGACAATCTGGGGTATTACACCCAGGATGTATCTCCCTGAGAACTGGAAGTCACCAAGTGGGCTAGGCTGGCCCCTGTCCCTGCCTTTCCAAGGCTGAGATTCCAGCACACATCACATCACCTGGCTTTTTACCTGGGTGCCGGGCTTCAACTCCTCATTTTTTTTTTTGGCAAGCATTTTACTGACCTGCCTCCAACCCACATCCTCCCCTTCAGGTTGGTGCTGGGGACTGAACCCAGGGCCTCATGCATGCTGGGCAAGTGCTCTGCCACTGAGCTACATACACCCCAGCACTGGGTCAGCACTTGGGAGACAGAGGCAGAATGGCAAATTCAAAACCATCCTAGGCTACGTATTAAGACATTATCTAAAAATACAGTCGTGGCAAGCAAGGACTGTTGCTCTGGAGGGACAGGCCACCGTGACCACAGTGCCAGCGCAGGCTTGATCTCACAGGAAAGCTGGAATTCAGGAATGGAATGCTCCAGGCAGGGTAAGCCAGCATTCTCCTCTCAGCGGACCCATGACTGTCCTCACTTTCTCTGGCCCCCCACACCCCCAGCAGAAGAGCAGAATGCACATGCATACACGTGTGCACAGACACATACAATGCCACAGGCAAGAGAGTACTGGCCTCCCACTGGCACCCCAGACTCAGCCAAGGAGATACAGAAGGAACAGCAGAAACTACTCCTATCTCTAAAGAACAAGGCACTGACTCTCAGAGCCCCCCCCACCTTCCTCAGTCCTCCTGGGTCCCCAAGAAAGACAGGTAAGTGTGGGGACTCAGCCCTGAGAGGAGCTAGCCAAATCCTGCGGGAGATAGTCATGTGACCCTGAGTGGCTCCCCTAAACTCTCTGGGCCTCAGTTTCCTCTCCATGGAACAGAAGAACTGACCTGAACAGAGCTGAAATGACTTCTAGACCTGCCAACCTGCCAGGCACCCCTGGTCTGCCGCCTAGGGAGAGTGGGCCTCAGCCTCCTGGGTCTGTTCTAGTTCTGTCCTGCACAAGGACTCAGGTCTCAGGCTGATTAATCCTGTTTTTACCCCAGAGGAAACTCACTGCCCAGATGACTCCTAATGGAGAGGTGGCTCAGAACAGCTCCGTGTCACCTCCTAGCTGTGTCTGGGGCTGGGCATGCCATCTCCCTGAGCTCTAGCTTCCACATCTATGCAATGGGGACAGGTCACAGCCAATGCCTGCTACGTAAGTGTCAGCAATGGACGAAGCATGTCCAGGATGCCCTCCAGGACCCTCTCTCTTAGGAGCTGCTGTTTTAAATGGAGATGGTCGTGGATATGCAGATGAGCAAATCTAACTTTAAGGACTGGGTACCCCAGGACCTGAGGCTGCCTAGGCAGAGCCTGTGTTCCACCCCCACCCAGAAAGTGGTGGCCAGTGATGGAGGGGCAGGCTGTGGAAACCTGGCTTCAATTAGACTTGGGGGAGGGGGCTCTGGTTAAAGCATTGTATCCTCTGCCTGTTCCTCTGGGGCTGCCAAGGACAGGGACCTGGACCCCTTGAGAAGAGGTCTGGAAGGAGACTGAGGTCTCAGAGCCTATATACAAGCTTACACACACACACAGCAGCAGCAGCAGCAGCAGAAGCCAGAGCCTGCAGCACACAACTCCTAGAAACTCCAGCAAGCTCCCACAGTCCCCAGATCTTGTACACATGTACACCAACTGGTGCATGAGACATGCTGGGCACAGCCTTCAGCCGCACACAGGACAATACAAGTTCACACCAGGAGCACACTGGCCTTGGAAATGACACGCCAGCATCCTCCCCACATCCTAACTACATGCATGCACCCTTCCAGTGACCCCAGCATCCACGCACACACGTCTTAGCACGTGCTGACTTGCAGCCTCAAACACGTACTCGGATCGTACACACATTTAAAAATTCTGGAAAAGTTTTCCAAGAGTTGCCAGCTCCAAACTCCAAACCACCTCAGACTTTCAGAGCAGCAGGCTGGGACTTACCAGCTCCCTGTGGAGGAAGGCCTGGATGGGACTGCCAGGTTAGACGAGCCTAGCCCGCTAGACAGTTCAACAGTCGACAATCTGCTGCCGCCGTCTGCCGCCAGCTGCTCCGGCTGGTGCCTGCCCGCCTCGGCCTCCAGGCCCTCCTCCTTCCTCCTCCCCGCCGGGCTGGAGGGCCAGCTTGATTTCATTAAGAGAGCTTGGGGTGGGGACAGTGAAGGGCGGGACTATGCTGGGCCACACGCAGTCCCACCCTCCTCACACTCCTTGCTTGCTTCCTCCTGACCTCAGGTCCCCTGGGCAGACTCAGACGGACTAACAGACAGAGGGTCTTCCACAAGCCCTTCCCCCGAACTTTGAGCTGAGGTCTTTCCCATCCCCCCACACACACCACATTCCCTGGGGGTGCGAGGTCAGGAGGCTCTGAGGCCCCTGGAAGTGGGAAGGAAAACTCTCCATGGACCGTTCCAGCTGTGACTCAGGATTTCCAGGCTTAGGATGCAGAGTGGGAATAGGGGTGTTTCAGGGAAGCCTGACGGCGCTGGGTTCAGGCCGTCCTGGCCTTTCTCCCTGGGTCTCAGTTTCCCCATTCCTTTTGTTTGTTTGTTTGTTTGGTTTGGTTTTGTTTGTTTGTTTTTGTTTTTGTTTTTTCCAAGACAGGGTTTCTCTGTTGCTTTGGGGCCTGTCCGGGAACTCGCTCTGTAGACCAGACTGGCTTCGAACTCACAGAGATCCGCCTACCTCTGCCTCCTGAGTACCACCAATGCCCAGCTCAGTTTCCCCATTCTTAGGGATGGAAGGGAGCTGCCTGAGGTACTGGCATCCTGCCCTCTACGTCACAATGCCCCAGCAGGACAACTTGAGCAGAAATTATGAGTCCATGGTGCAGCTGGGTCCTGAGGATGGTAACAACCGGCCCTGGAGCACCAGGGGTACCTTCACAGGTGAATCCAGTGATCTGTGGCCCTCACATTCACTCACTTGCCCACACACTCACTCATGAGCTTGTTTATTTCCATGAACACCTGATGCACCCCACCCGCAAGCTCAGTGCAAAGCAGGTCCCAGATGGAACGAAGACACACCGCCCCTTCCAGGAGGTTCCAGGCTTCTAGGGCTATGAGCAGCAAGATTCATCGTGGAGTGTGCATTGCCCTTCTGCAGACCAGAGGGGGTTCCATGGCAGGAGAGGGCCTACAGGGAAGCCAGGCTGGAAGGCTGATGTACTCTTGAACCCCACCTGAACAGAAGGGGGCCTGACAAAGCACTCCAGGAAGTGAAGGAGAGAGGATGGCCCTGCCTAACCTGCCTCAGACTGGTCATCAGTTTCAGGGGCAGCCAGACCTCTCCAGGGTCACTTCCCAGGGAGCAAGGCCTGTCCCCAACAGACTGAGGACTTGTGTCAGGATTCTGGTCATTAAGGAAGGGCCAAATCCACAGCCTCATCAAGGGTTCTAGAAACTTTCTGGCGTGCCTTGGCTTCAGGCCTCATCCTCCTCCTTGTCCAGCAGCTACACAGAATCCTCAAGCTGTGAGTACAGTGTTCTTTGCCCTCTTTCTTTCCCTGGGTGAAGGTCACCTTGGGGTGACCAAGGGCTATCATGTCCCCACCTAGGGTTCCCTAGCCCATATAAGTAATGCTCTTGACCATGGAGGCCTTGGTGACATGGTCACAGGGTCGGGTATAGACAGCACGGGTCCCAGATTGGGGGTCTATGCACTCCTGTCTTCTGCCCCAGAGATACAAGGGATAACAGGGATACAGAGGCCATGCACGCTCAAGTCCCTCATGCAATTCTACACAGCAACTGTTCAGGACCAGACCTGCCGCTCCCCCACCCCCAGCCCTGGCATCCTTTAACTCATCTCAGTGTGCCTTGATGACTTCTCTTCCTTTGCATTTTTCCCTTCCTTTCTTTTTCTTTTCTTTTGAGACAAGGGTCTCCTGTACCCCAGGCTGGTTCACATTTGACATGTAACCAAGTACCTTCCTGAGCTTCTCATCCTCCCAAGTGCTGGGGTTTCAGTCCCTGGCCTGGACTGCATAGGACTCGGGTTTGCACCCCTCCTAGGCCACTGAGCTGCCTCCAGGTGACTGATTCATGCTGTGGTACAGGTACGGGAGTTGCTCTACTCTGTTATGAAGCGCATGGTGTCATTTTTCCTGAGCCCGAGGACACAGAGCCCAAAGACGCTGAGCAGCCACATCCTGCCACCTGGGAGAGACCTGCCTTGCAGACTGGTGCCATGGTGCCCGGACAAGGGTCTGTTGGTGTTGGTGGAGATGTGAGAGAGTGAAATTCCGTGGCAGAATAGGAAACTGAGGCTCATAGTGGAATGGCATGCCCTGCGGTAATAGAAGGCTGAGTGTAGGGTCCCTTCTGACGCACCCGTTTCTATTTCCAAATCTCCCAAAGTGCCACTGCCAGGCCAGTGACCCAGGTCTGACTGGGCTGCCACAGCACAGCCCCTCTCCTACCTCCACATGCCTGGGGAAAGGGACTGTGGGGCCACACACACACATGCACGCACACACACACCTGTTCACACACGCATGTGTTTACACAGCACACACAAACGCACACACAGGTCCGCCTTTCCTCACTGTGCACCCTCACACATAACCTGTAGATGCTCAGGAAGTGCCACTCATGAGCGGAGACAAAAGAGCCCAGCACCCAGCGGCCACAAGTCACAGCACTTGCCCTGGGCCACAACTAAACGTGAGTTCGGGTCACTGGCTGCCAACCCTCAGGCTCCCACCTAGAGGCATCCCAGATTCTGCTCATTCTGCAGATACAGCCCAAGACTGTGGCATCCAGCCCACAGTCAGGTCTTCGGAGCCAGTGAAAAGCAAACAGGTCCGAGCTCACAAAAGAGGTAGGAGAACTTCAATACACAAGTAAACCACAAAGGGACCTCGGGCTGCACCCTGGGCTAAGATCTGGGAGGAGTTGCTCAGGGCTGCATGTCCTGTGGGTGTCTAGCCCAGTCCCAGGCTTTCACTGTAAGAAGTGACTATACTGCTGCCCCCAAAGATGGAGGGCAGATATTTAGGAAGGCACAGAAGCAGGAGAGTTCCCCTGGACAGCATGTGCAAAGGTCCTGGGGCAGTCAGAAGCACAATACCACTGAGGCAGCTCCCAAATATTGTCAGGCTAGCGCGGCTGAGCCAGGTCTGTGGGAACAAAGGACTTTGCATATCTGGGGCCCTATCCTAACTCTACTTCTAGGACAGTGGTTCTCAACCTTCCTGATGCCGCCACCCTTTAATACAATTCCTCATGTTGTGATGACCTCAATCATAAAATTATTTCGTTGCCACTTTATAACTGTAATTTTGCTACTGTTATGAATCTTAATGTGAAATCTGTTATGTAGGATATCTGATATGTGACCCTGGGGCGGGGGAGCATGACCCTCTCTGATCTAAGGCAATACCTGAAACACACTGGGGTTCAGTAAGTGGCACTGGCTGCCTGATGCCGCCTCTGCCATCTGATCATGTACCGGCAGGCATCGATCAGCCAACATTTTAAGAGAAGCTCCATCCTTCCACAGTTTCTGGGACACGTGTGGGGCCTGGCTGGCTGTGGCATCTAAGGGGTGTGGGCAAGCCTGTGGTATGGCACACAGGCTGGGCTGTTCACTTGCAACCCATAATTTCAGAGGCCCCGAGCAGTACCGGGGTTTCTGCTCTGCCTGGAAACACTTCAGAGTCCCTGCCCTGAACCCCTTGCAATTAGCAGCCACACTGCCCTGCTCGGCAGCCCTGGCACTGGAGCTTGGGAGGGCTGGGAAACACCCCTAGCTTGGGTCTCTGCTGAGACTCTTCCTGCGGGGCTCTGGGCAGTGCCAGCCCACCACAGTCCCCATCCCTTCATGGGTCCAGGGACACATGTAATTACACAACCCTGAGCACTGGGGCCTGCCTTCCAAGCAAAAATAGCTGGGTCTTTCATGTGGCTACAGAGGCCTGGTCTACAGCCCCATCACAGACCAGGCCTGCGGAGGAATACTCATGGCATTTCATCAGCCTCCTAGACATTTGTCGGTCTAACCAAGGTGGCCATCAGGATTAGCTATGACAAGCTAAAGGCTCAGGCAGCTATACTAGTTTTCTTTTTGTTGCCGAGACGGACACCGAGTTCAAGAGCAACTTAGGGGAGAGAAGGGCTAACCCTCGTATAGGTCACAGTCCATCACAAAAAGAAGTCAGGGCAGGGAGTCGGGCAGGGAACACTGCTGACTTGCTTGTTTTCAGGCCTGTGCTCAACTAGCTTTTTATACTGCCCAGGGCTGTCTGCCTAGGGGATGCTGCTGCTCACTGTGGGCTGGGCTCTTCTCCATCAATCAACAAGACGATCCCCCACCCTTCTCAGGTGACTCTGGGCTGTGTACAGGTGACAGAGCTGAACAGTCGCTCAAGCTCAGTCATACAACGTGGAAGCAAGAGAATCAGGAATTCAAAGACATCCTTGGGTACACCGTGAGTTCAAGCCCAGTTCATGCTACACGAGACACTGTCTCATAAACAAACAAACAAATAAATCCACACCCCAAACCCTACAAAACAAGGCCAAATTCAGCTGTGGGTTAAGATGTCAAAAGGTAACTCTTGGGGGGGTTCTGGCTGGCAAGGGACTCGAGGGACAGGATGGTCCTGGATACTGTGGCCTTCGGGTTTGGATCCCATTCAAAGGACACACAGTGTGGGAAGGTGCAGCTGGACACTGGGGATCAGCCTGCCCTGTCCAGGTTATGACTCAGTTCAAAGACTTCTTAAGAGCCCACATCCCTCCACAGCGGGGTACACACTACAGGCCAAGGGCTGGGGTCCCAGGACTTCCTGTGGCCGGGTGGCCAGCCAGCTGTGGCTGCCTTGTAAACATTTACATTCTCCCTGTGGAAGGAGTCACTTTATGAGTCTCACCGGGGGTGGGAGGGCATGGTGGCGGCTGCAGTACACAGCTGGTGGCTGCTGGGCCTGACCCTAGCCTCCACCCCCACCGCCGTCGTGGAATCAGCTTCATGCTGGGGTCTTCCAGGCCAGTTACCACCACCCTCCCTGCTCTGCATACCCCAGGCAGTGTCAGGGCGGGAGTGGGGGACGGGAGAGGGTGAGGACCCTGTATGTCTAAGAGCAGGGAGGGGCCTGAAGTCCC